GAAAGTATTCTTTGTACAACAATGTTACAAATCTGTCTTCTGATCCTTCTCAATTGGTGGCTTTACTGTCAAATGGAACCTTCTGCCTTATGCTGCCAAGAACAGAGTCCCTTGAAAATAGGAAGCTTTCAAGTCAAAACAGTTTTTAGGTTGTAAATTATTTTTCAATGGTTAATATCTGAATAATCTTTAAAAAACCAATTTTTACTGTTTTGTAGGTCTATATGTGGGGTCAGTGTCGAGGGCAGGCTGTTACGAGTCCTATGGAAACAAAGTATACTAGGGTTGATACCACCTTTGCATGTTTTTCCTCCCCGCCGTCAATGGCAAGACCTCTTATTGTTGGTTAGTAATGAGTCAGCTGCATAAACTATTACTAGTAACTGTAATTTGGAGTTTATTTGTAGGATGGCAAGTCACAATGCCATAAAACTGTAATTGGAGTCATTTTTGTTTCCAGGAGATGAATTCAATAATCATGGGATGTTTGGTGACTGACTTGGCGGCTACTATTATTGTTTTTCCCTTGTTATTTTTCAGATCAGGTTCAGGAAAAGCGAGTTGAACAGAGTGTTAGAGATGCATTTAATGATCAGGTATAGTCTTTAAGAATGCCATGGGTGTCGTACTCCACAAACTTTTGAAATATTAGCTTGTGTTGTTTTTTTATTTTATTCATTGTTTTGGAAGTTTTAGCTTTAACCTCATCAAATTTGTCAGTTTAACTTTTTTATCTACTTGTAACAGGAAACAAGTGATCTAACATTTATGATTGATGGAAAATCAGTTTATGTGCACAAATCCATGCTCAAAATAAGGTAATGGTGGTTCATGTCTGCTGGTTAATTAAAGGACCTTAGGTAGGTAGGTAGGTAGGTAGACTTTATTTAGCCAGGGTGGCCCATTCAGCAACAAGGCTGATATTCAGAGGGGCCCTGGAGAGCTTCATGTGATTTAGACTGGCATGCACAGACAAGAGGGCAAATGAGGGTGTACGCAAGAGAAAAATGTTACCAGTTACTTGTAACAATTGTTAAGGGTGGTGGTCCTGTTATGGCGTCTTTGATATTAACATTATTCGACTAGCTAAACTGAAAAAAAAAAAAACTTTGGTCAAAAAGTCATACATATTTCTTCATCACTTATTTGAGAATTCCATAAATGATGAAGTCAAAAGAGGGGTACATATTAAGAAAACCAAAGCTAAAATTGAGTGCCAGCCTTGTGGACTATTGTTTAATCAAAAGAAACTATTCTCTTAACAAAATAATTTGGTTGTTATTGTCAGAGGAAAGTGCTAACTCTCAAAACATCAGCTTAGAAACTCTTTACAGTGGCTAATTTACATCAACTTGTTTGATAAAACTAAATCATCTTGTTATACTTCCCCATCGATGTAGCACCACAGTTTCTTTAATAATTGTATAGCTGGAAGTTAATTGGAAATTGTCAGCATAGCTAGTATTCTTTAATTTTTTAAAATTGTCCAATTAATGAATAATTTGGATAGTTTCAAATTACAAAGGGACACAAGTGCATTATCATGATTCAGGACCATTCGGGACAGTGCCTCATCCAATACTTAGAGAATATTGGACTGGCAATAGAGCATTTTGATTGGTTGATTTTAGTTATTGGCCCTCTGACTGCCCGAGTCGTGTAATAATTTTAATTATTGACACTTGCCAGGTTTGTTGAAGTAGCTGCTTGTCATTACAGTCACTTATCAGCGGCCATGACAGCTGCAGGAAAGGTATGTACTGTTTTATGTAAGAACACCCATTGTGCAATCACTTTATTAGTTCATAAGGTCTTTCTACTCGTGAATCATTAGATTATGGCAGGACTCCATGCTCAACTTTTTCAATTATTACCAGTTGTTGACATAGATTGATTGAATGGTAGATAGAAATTTTATTCTAGTTTCTAGAAAAAAATCATTTTCTGACAGATTTGTTGGAACTCTGATGAGCATTTGAAATCAAGTAAAAGTGAGTACAAAACAGACAACAGGGTCCAAAAGGGAACAAAGGAGTCCAAAAATGGACAGAGGTGAAATGAATGAGACAAAAGTGTAACACCTGAAATCAGACAGAAATGTCTGCAAGATCAACAAAATGTCTGAAATCAAATAATTGTGTCTGGAATTACATGGAGATGTCTAAAAACAGATAGTGGCATCCAAAATTGGACACTGAAGCATCCAAAATCAGAAGGTAGTGCTCTAAATCAGACAGAGGTGTCCAAGAACAGATGGTTGTGTCAGAATTCACATGGCAGGGTCCTGCAGGATTTGGAAGTGTCAGAAATCATTATGGCCACAAGAATAGTTGCAGCTCAAAGCCCTCTCTGGTAGGATTTTGGGATTGCTTGGTAAGAACCTCGTTGTGTTCCCAGCACGGCAGCCACGGGGTGCAGTGTAATTGGGTTCGCCAGGTCAACCACAGTGAAGTACAGGACGGACAGGAGACTCTTACACAAGTTTATTGGACTAAATCATGTTAACAGGCTAGCCGACCTGTTACACCACTTGCAGCGAAAACAAGAAAGGAATGCACAGTTTGTCTAAGCTAAGGAAACTTGCTAAATTACAAATATGACAACAGAAAACACAACTAAAAACTAATAGAAACTTAACGATTGTGACTTAGTCTGATCTTGACTCTGGGGATGAGAAAACTCCAAGTTATGAAAAAACTGTGAAAGACTCCTGTAAAACTCCTCATTGCTCCAGGAACAATTACTTAAAACTAAAATGTTTGCATGAAAAAAGGCCTAATATACTTCTATGATGTAAAGGAAACTAAACTGAAACAACTCTTTGTGCGGCTAGCCAAAAAAGGATATTTATAATCACGCAATCAAAACAAAACAAGGCTACATTTTAAGAAAACAAAAAGTCATATAATGTTCGAAAGTATTCTTTGTACAACAATGTTACAAATCTGTCTTCTGATCCTTCTCAATTGGTGGCTTTACAGTCAAATGGAACCTTCTGCCTTATGCTGCCAAGAACAGAGTCCCTTGAAAATAGGAAGCTTTCAAGTCAAAACAGTTTTTAGGTTGTAAATTATTTTTCAATGGTTAATATCTGAATAATCTTTAAAAAAACCAATTTTTACTGTTTTGTAGGTCTATATGTGGGGTCAGTGTCGAGGGCAGGCTGTTACGAGTCCTATGGAAACAAAGTATACTAGGGTTGATACCACCTTTGCATGTTTTTCCTCCCCGCCGTCAATGGCAAGACCTCTTATTGTTGGTTAGTAATGAGTCAGCTGCATAAACTATTACTAGTAACTGTAATTTGGAGTTTATTTGTAGGATGNCATATAAGGGGCAAAATGTTTTCTTACTGATCTCGCGCAAAACGGGACGCCATTGTTACAAAACAAACAGAAATTTCTTTACCTTGGCAGCCATTGCTAAGCGATTTTCAGCCAATCATTTTCAAGTAATTTTGCCCGGGGCAATTGCAAAAATTAAGAAAAAATGCCCTCTGTCTTGACCAATCACAATTCAGTAATTTTGCCCCTTATATGATAAACATAGGTATGTACGTATGTACAGCATGTAGACCTATTACATCTACAAACTTACCCCACTTTATTCACTTATTCTCTAAACAGGTGTGAATACTTTCGCAGCATGTTCCAGGCGCACTGGGGAGAAGATGAAAAAAGGTCAGTTCAAAGCAGTTTTTATTGTTTCCTTGATTTGTTTGAAATGTTATAAAATGAAGCACACTAGCTAATTGGTTATAAGCCAATAATTGATGTCAGGCTCAGATATTTTTTTTGTTGTGTTTTTAGCGTGATAGAAATCACACAATTCAGCTATCCTGTGTATTATGCTTTCTTGGAGTATCTCTACACTGATCAGGTTCATCTGTTACCTGAAGATGCCATTGGTGAGTGTGATGTCAGACTTTCTGTAACTAAAGACATTGTTAGGCTTAGGTTCAATCAGCCTCAAGCGTTTTTCAATTGCGTTGAAAAACCAAAACGGAATAAATCACAATGGACAACCGAAACAAAGGGAAATATCACAAAGGAGCCAAAGAGAAAGCAGAAGCGCAGGAGTGAGCTGGGATTGGTTGACAGGGTGGTACAAGTTTTCGGGACTTTGCTCATAGTGAAGTGGTGCCTTGAAAACCAATAGCCCATTTCCGAATTACCCTTGGCCTCATTTTCAAAACCAGTGCTGGTGCTCATCCTTTCATATGATAATAAGTTTTCATTCACATGCAAGTTATACTCATTTTCACAAGAATGGTTGCGCACCAGGCCTCGTTTTGAAAAAGACGCCAAGGGTAATTTGGAAATGGGCTATTCTCCCATGTAATACTTTGTAACCCAATAGAAATGTGCTCTCTATCCTAATTGCGAATCCATGAGAACGTTTTCGATTGAGTGCTGTTAAGTCAATACCAAAATTATTAAAACAGCCAATTAGAATAAAAATGAAAATACCCGTAGGAACCAACGAGAACTCAAAGTAAAATCAACCAGACTGCTCAAAATGTAGCTGACCAAGTCGTGATTCGTTTTAGTTTTGCATCTGATTTGTTGAAAGATGAACATGAGTTTGTTTTGACCAATCATTGAGTGAAGTTAGGCAAACGGATACTACCGCAGGTGTCTGTCAACACTCGATTGAAAATAGCTTCAATATGTGTTCCCAGACAAGCATCTTCCCTTCCAGTGATGCTTCTTTGTTGACTTGTTGTTTCAGGTCTCTTGGACTTGGCCAACTCATATTGCGAGTTACAGTTAAAACTACAGTGCGAACGGATTATCAAACAAGGCATTACTGTCGAAAGTGCTGCCATGTTACTTGCAGCAGCCATCAAGTACGAAGCAAATGAAGTTTGCTTTGCCTCGGTAAGACTTTGACAGGATTATCAATCTCGTATTCAGAGGTCACACTCCCATAATTCCTTGCAGGGGTCAAAACGAAGACTCACCGCTCCTTTTCTGCCCACTAGGAGAGCGTGACCTCTGGTATGAGATTTTCAGATAAACAATTGGTTATATCTCCTGCGCAGCTGTAATGTGTGGTCTGGTCACGCAATGCATGGTCATTCCACGATGATTCAGAGTGGAGAAAATTAACACGGCTGTGTGAACGTCATGGCACAAAAAATGCTAGTTTTACCATAAGAAAATAATCATCACACCATATTCACAAAATCAACCAAATATAATTTTTTTTTTGTTTTTATCTTTGCTTTAAGGATCTTGAGGAGTTTTGCTTCAAGTTTTGTATCAATCACTTGACAGCTGTCACTCAGACTACAGCTTTCAATCATCTTGATGAGGGAACTGTCAAACAATTTATCAAGAAAGCAGGCCAGAGGGGTGCATTTAAGTACTGACACTAATCTCTTGAGTAAAAAGAAAACTCAACTGCTTCCCTGTTGTAATAGTTGATGGTGGTTGGGGACATTGACTAGCCATTTATAATGTATAGGGGTTACATTCAGGAGTACCAGTGTTTGCTTGCATGCAGGCTGTTATCACTGGCGTTGCGCACAAGCTTTTTCTTCACACGTGAGAAAGTCAAAGGCCTGGAGCATAGCGAGTCGGCGAGAGGTCTGTAAGGGGTGTGCCACCATTGTTAGTGCCTGACTCCTTGCAGTCTCCCTTTGTCGAAGACCAGAAACTTTGAGACACTTCTACTTTAGCGCTGATAATGAAAGCCTGCGTGCAGG